AAAAAAAAACCTAACTCGGGGGACTGGCTGAGGAACAACTTGGCGGGTGCTCAGCCCGCTGCCGTTTATGTTGTTCCCCAGAGAGCGGCCCGCGGAGGAGTTGCGCTCGCGTGGCCGCCGTGTAGGAACTCCGTGGAGGTGTTGTGTGGCTCTAAAGGCTCGTTGTGATGCGTATCCCCGTAGATACCAGCACCAGCCGCCGCTTCACGCCTCCCTCCACCACGCTGAGCCCGGGGAAGATGAGCGAGCCGCTGGCGCTGCCCGGAGCCGAGCACAGCGGGGCTTTGCCGGGGAAGCTGCGCGGAGCCGACCGCAGCATGGTGGAGGTCCTGGCGGATCATCCCGGGGAGTTGGTGCGCACCGACAGCCCCAACTTCCTCTGCTCCGTGCTGCCCACGCACTGGCGCTGCAACAAGACGCTGCCCATCGCCTTCAAGGTAAGTCTCGGGCGGGGGTGAGTGGGGATGGGGGGAGAAATGGGGGTAAGGATCCTGGGAATGGGGGTTTGGATCTGAACGCGGCTCGTTCTGGGCTTCCCTCCTTCCATCCCTTCCCTCCTTCCTTCCTTCCATTCTTTCCATCCTTCCTTCCACTCTTTCCCTCCTTCCATCCTTTCCCTCCTTCCTTTCTTCCTTTCTATCCCTCCTTCCGATCTTTTCATCCTTCCTTCCTTCCACACTTTCCTTTCCCTCCTTCCTTTCATCCTTTCCTTTCCCTTCTTCCTTCCCTCCATCCCTTTTCTCCTTACTTCCATCCTTTCCTTTCCCTCCTTACTTCCATCCTTTCCCTCCTTCCTTCCATCCTTTTCCTTCCTTCCATCCTTTCCCTCCTTCCTTCCATCCTTTCCTTTCCCTCCCTCCTTCCCTCCATCCTTTTTCTCCTTCCTTCCACCCTTTCCCTCATCCTTCCCGTCCTTCCCACTCCCGGCCGCTCTCGGGGCAGGATCCGGGGAATGTGAAGGGCTGGGAAAAGCTCCCTGCAGCCTCTGCCTCCTTCTCCTCTCCATTCAGAACTCTGGCAGTGAGAGGCTCAAAGGGGGAAAAAATAGAAATAAATAAATTGTATTTTCAAAAGCCAGCCCCGCCGAGTTTGGCCGCTCTGGGGAGGAGATGCCGCACATGGACACGAACCGAAGGAGCCCCGGGATCCCCCAGAAGTGGCCCAGGGTGGTGGCGGGTCCCCGTGTCCCTGTGTCCCCGTGTCCCTGTGTCCCCGTGTCCCTGTGTCCCCGTGTCCCTGTGTCCCTCTGTCCCGCTGCCACCCACGGGGGACACGCTCCCGCAGCCCCGGGACGTGCCGGGTTTTCCCCCTGCCAGGGACTCTGGGAAGGAGAAAACACCACAAAACAACCCAGCCACAATCCCAAAAACCACATTTCCTCTTTTATTGGCCGAGTTTAACGACAGCAAAAGTCGCGGCCTAACCCGGTCAGAGCGCTTGGAGCTCTCCTCCCTTTTTCAAAGTCTCTTGTTAAATCCGAGTAAAATCCGGGAAAAGATGGAGAGAAGGGAATGGGACAGAACATCCCGGCTCCCTCCTGTCCCGAGCGGTGCGGGGGATGCTCGTGGCGCTTTTCTCCCTTCCCGTTAGCCGGCTCCCAGGAAAACCATCCTCCCTTGGAGGAAAACCATCCTCCCTTGGAGGAAAATCATTCTCCATTGGAATAAAATCATCTTCCCTTGGAGTAAAATCATCCTCCTTTGGAATAAAATCATCCCCCTTTGGAGTAAAATCATTCCCCTTTGGAATAAAATCATCCCCCTTTGGAGTAAAATCATTCCCTTTTGGAATAAAATCCTCCTCCCCTCGCTCACGCTCTTTTTTTTTGAGCCGGGATTCTCGCTGACTCCCTGAACTCTCCGCTTTTTTTTGCAGATTGGTTCCCGAGCGAGGGCAGGAAAAGGGAATTCTTGTCCTTATCCTTTTATCCGAGCCGGGAGCCGCACACACACGCAGCTCCTGGGAGCCTCGGGGCTTGATTTAGGATCGGGATTTGTCAAACCCGAGCTTTTTTTTTTTTTTTCTTGCTAAACCCCGACTACCTCGGCACAACTTTTATTTATTTTTTTTTTTTTTTATTTTCGTGTTGAAGGCCACCAGACTCGAGACTTTTTTTTTTTTTTTTT